AGACGAAGTTGGTAGTCTGACACCTGCATCTATTGGTTTTTCACAATTTATTTATTTTTTAGCCATTTTGAAATATGCTCTCCCACCCCGCACCCTTATATATGTGTGACAACACACACGAAATTTGGTAAATAGTGTGGGATGTAATATAATCATTTATGCACTTTTGAGGTTTCCAGTGGAGCATATTTTCAGCTTTTTCGACAATTACAAGCTGAGCTGCTGCATAGGTTCTACGGATGATTGAATTCAACCTTTGTCTCAAAATCCAAACAGTTTATTTCCCCGTTATAGGGTAATTTGATGAAAACATTTTTCTTAAGGGCGGTATGGATTGCAGGTTTAGAGACTAATTGACTTCTACACCTGTTTAAAAATTTTAAAGGATATCCTTTTTCAACAACAGTATCCATCAATATTGCATTTTCTTTGTCTATAACATCAGCCCTACAAATACGTTGAATCCTCTTAAATAGACATTTCACCAAGTCTGGCAGACAGGCTTGATTCACCAAAAGTTTATTAGTCATTCGTTTCGAGCTTCTAGGTGTACTTTGCTAACGAAATGCCAATAAGCGTGAAACCTAGGTCCAGGACTTCATGCTGATCGCCTTGTAACCGGAAGGTCCTGGGTTCGAATCCCGGTGGGTGCGTACTGCTGAAGAGTCCCAAACTAGGACGAAACAGCTGTCCAGTACTCCCAGGTTTTCCAATGGTTCTCTAACTAATGTCAGCTCATGATGAAATCCTGAAACCAATCAAATCCCTACAAACCAACACTTGAATTCCATATTAGTTTGTTTATTAGATATATCACACAGTGAAACACTATTATTTGCCAGTATATATAATACTGTTTCACTCACCGTGTGATATATCTAATAAACGAACTAATACGAAATTACTTACTACCACAGTGCCCAAGTTCTACACATATATTAATAAACCAGACAATTTGCTCAGTAAAATAACGGGGCATGATATACGCATATAGGATGCAAAGTTATACCCCAAAAAATACAACAGACTAAATTATTTAAGAGTTTTTCGATTCTAGGACATTTCAAGGTTTTTGTTCATTTTTGCTGAACCCTTTCAGTAACTGTAAAATAAAACAGATTTATGCAGAGGATCGCAGTTAAACCCCTACCATAAATTCATCGGCTTCGGAAAGGCCTTCAACAGATAGCGTTGACTGAGAAGTAATTTGGAAACTACTTCAACACCATAGTGTGTAGTGGTCCAAGTCTTCATCAACTTCATTCAACAGCTGGTTGGCTATATGACAATACCACATGTCAGATGATCCACTACAAAAAACTCAGTGAGGTGTTATAAGTGAATACAGGAGTAAGGCAAGGCTCCCAACAACTATCACCGATGGTATTCTTAATTTTGGTGGGCACTGGATTATGAGGAAGAATGTGAGTGGGGGGGGGTGAGAAGAGAGGAGTACGCTGGACCACCTATAAGAAAACTCTAGAAAATCTGGATTTCATGCATGACTTACGTTCACTGTCAAGCAAACTCGAAGATCTGAGGGAGAAAACCAACAAACTGGCTGAAGAAGTAGCCAGGTGAACACAGAAAAAAGATGAAGGTGATGAAGATTCCCACACATCACTGCCAACAACAATAACCAGCACCAATCGACATCAGTGGGAGAGATTTCACAGAGGTTACTTCTTTCACTTATCTAGGAAGCGCTAGGAAGCATCGTTTCAACCACAGGCAGTTGGAATGGATGAATCTGTCAAAGTCAGAATCCGAAAGACAATATACTCCTTCATCAATCTGAAATCAGTTTGGAAATCTTCTGCGCTGCACTCAGCATGAAGAGAACAAGATTCGGATTTTCAACACAAATATCAGTGAAGTCAACCAGTTCTTCTTTGTATTTCAGAAACTCGGGGTGACATGAATAGCATTTCCAAAGAAGGTTGCAGACGTTTTTCAATAGCTGCTCCATTTTCTGGCTCTATTATTATTATTGTATCCTTTAGTTCCTAGAGGAACATAGGGCTTCAGCTGCGAACCTCCATTGCCTTCTGTCTTCTGACAACTTTTTCACCCCGCTCCAGGTCTGTCCACATGCTTTCGTCTCCTCCTCGAATGACCTCCTCCAAGTCACCCTTGCACTGACGACCAACTCGCCGCCACCTTCCCTTTCGGGTTCCACTTGAGAAATGGCTTGTATAGTGATGTCACTTAATGGTTTCCTCAGCGTATGGCCAGCCAATCCATCTCCATTTCTTCGTGCCTATTTGTTACACAATCGGTTCCTGGTTGGTCCGCTCCCAGAGGTCCTTGTTGCTGATCTTTCTGGCCGGCCGTCTGATCTTGAGTATCGAGCGAAGACAACTGTTAATGAAGGTCTGAAGTTTATTTGAGATGCTCTTTATGACTCGCCAAGTCTCTGATCCGTATAGAAGCACTGATTGTACATTGAAGTTGAAAATCCGGACCTTATTTTTGATCCTGAGTGCTGTTGACCTCCACACAGATTTGAGAGTAATAAAAGCTTGTCTTGCCCTATACTATAGATCAAATGGCCAACTGGTCAATCAAACGGAATTAGCAACAAGAAACTCTGGCTTGGAAAAAAGCCAACCAAGAGTTCACTGATATGTAGATGAAAATGTAGATGGATCAGGCATACGTTGACGAGGCCGTACAATGACATCACACGCAATGCAGGCTATCGCTCGAGTGGAATCCTAGTGCGAAGTGACGAGTGGATCGTCGGTGCGAGGATAACATGGAGGAGATGAGAGATTATGTGCAACTGTGGAGCCAGCTGAAGAGTATAGCAGCAGACAGAACAACGTGGAGATGTGTTGTTGAAGCTCTGTGTTCCACTCAGAAATCAGGGGAATAATAATATACTGCAAATTCATGAAAAGTGGCTAGTTAAAAACTGTTTACACCATCAGTTTTAGTGTCGTTTCTGGTCGATTTGTCCGGATAAACTCGTGATTTATTATATTTTCGCATCTGATATATCGTCAAAGCAAATTTCTAGTTCTGTTCACTAGACGCTTTAATGAATCCATCTTCTAACATAGCAGATGGAAGGTATACAATAGCAGTTATTCCTGAATTGGCTCTAGAGACGTATTCACCAGCAACGGTGTACGAAGGTAGTATATAGTAATAAGAACTAGTTGTCGGTAAGACTAAATGTTTATTATGAAATATAATTTCATGATTTATTGTAAAATAAGCTTCGACAGGGCTCCTAAGTGTAGACCAACATTTAAGTAAGACTATATATTTTTTTTGAAAAGCACAACCATGAAAAGTGATAGTGAAGTTTCTGTAAAGTTCAACATTTAGTCTTTGATTTTCACCCGACATATCTGCTGGGACGGACTGATGCATGCGCCAACAATAATAACCTGATTGGACAGCTGCTAAATGATTTATTTTGGAGGAACTTGAAGGTCATACAGTCAATCAGACAGTGATTGCCTGTTTATGGTTTGAATTTCCATTGATGTAAAAACTATATATGTATTGTGTTTTGTGAAGAATAAAAACAGTTCATATGAGCTGTGATCAATGCCATTATGGGTAAATTTTATTTTGATAAAGTCTCACAGTGTTATACAGTAATGTTTACTGATGACGTTTCAAGCACAATTTACTGCTCATAATCATTTCAATCATATCATATCACCTTGGTATGATTGAAATTGAAATGAGTAACTCCAACGTTTTCCGCATTCGGCAAACTGGTCCAAACTTGCAAACATACACCATTGCATACCGCATTTACACATATATATTTTTCATATTCACTTATCTACGACCATGAACTTTTAGTCGAAAGTGATCTCTAAAATTCTGATGAAAAGTACACTTCTAATTGAATTTTTGATTTTCCCGTCGATTGATTGAACCGAAGTGCTCGATCTCAGGTTGGAATGTCGGTTTCTTGTGCAGATGTTTCGACAATGTCTAGGAACATCATCACTCACTGAGAAATACAGATACATCCAGTTGAAGAGTCCCAAATAGGACGAAATGCGCATCCTGGATTCCACTGCTAGTCACCATCCACCAATTAAAAGTACACTTCGTTTTAAGTGTTTAACAGAAAGTAGACTAACATATAAAAGTCTGAGGTCAAATTTTGATCACAGCTAATACAATTTTGTTTATTTATTATATTTTGATGACTGTTTCATGATTCATATGATTGGACAAATCTTTTTAAAAATAAAATAAGAGATGTCCTTTTTTATATATACCTCTGAAGTCCATTCAGTCAAGTGTGAGGATGGATGTCCCACCGATGACATTGGTTGGTGCCGATCGCGCTAAATCACGAATTCGTAGAAGTTAGAATTCATGGGCTGACCACTGAATCGGGTCCCGATCGGCTGAATGGTATCGGAGATTGCCATGTAATCGGAAGAACTTGGGTTGAAAAGTCAGTGGGTGCTTACTGCCGATGATTCCCAAACTAGGATGAAACAGTTTTTCCGCACTTCCTGGTTTTCAATGATTCTTCAACTAATAACAGTCCGTGATCAAATTGTAAAAGCCTTTGTTATTTTTATTTCGATTTATTTCCCTGAAGAAGTTCGGACCATTTTTCCGAAGGCAGAAAACGTTGCAAATACTCAAATCAATTTCGCTGAGATTTTACAAATATAATTTTTATAAAGGTTGTTATTGTTGTTTTTATGGTTGTCTCAGTTAAATCTGACTTATCTGTCTGTTTCAGTGTTGGGAGGTGGTGCATGGTAGGCAAGATAGACAGACAACACTCAACACACCGTCATAACAATATTTTTGACCTTGAAAAGAACACTTATCATTGAATTCTATTGAAGTAATAGAATTTCTTACTTAATTGATAAATTTGACTAGACTATAGCAATAATAACAATCACAACACAAAATATGAGATTATGCAACTAACTGTGAAAAACAATAAAATTTCTTTCAAAACCAGCCAACCAACCAAACAACCAACTGTTACATTATCATACCTGAGCTGATACAGTACGCTGAAAGCCAGCAGATGTTTCACCGTATTCATTAGAAGCTTGAATCAAATCACCCGACATATGTGAGCCAGGTTTTCGCGTGCTTATTAAACCTTCATTGTAATAGAGGTCAAGAGAAATAGAAAATAACGTACACTTATTTACACACAAAAATATTTTATGCGAAAAAAAGTTGATTAATAGAAACAGACAAGCAAAGGTGAACAGTATGTGCCGATGACCCCGCTAAGTATTAAATCCCTAGACCTTCAGAATACAAGGAGTACTCTCTGACTATTCAACCACTAGATTCTGTCTCATTGGCTGAATAATAAATGAGGTATTCAAGGAACCTGAAGGCCGTGGTTTTGATCCGCTATAGGGTCACAGTTAAGTACTGTTGAAGAGATCCAAATTAGGACGAATTGGTTGACCAGTACAGTCTGACTTTTCATTCTATGATCAGACTTGAAACCGATTAAACTATCTATTGGGAATGAAGGTGAAATATGCTGTATTACATTCAATGGACTTTTCAGCATCGCACATATTGCAATTCAGAATCTTCTGAACACCTTCAGCAGCAATCTGGTTTTCTGAAAATATTCCAAGAAGCTTGTGCCTGAAAGGAAGCAAATATTCTCAAAGTGCAATTACCAGACATATTTTTGATACCAGACATCTCGTAGAGATTTCTAAGTCCTTCAAAATATCAAATAGACAAAGGATAGCAAATTTACTACGATTTCCCGAAGCGATCGCAATCAAACGACGCAAACCAGACTTATGCATACAGAAAGAGAGTGTAGTTAACCTCTCACTCCCTTGGTAACTGAATTTTGATTTTGATTACATTAATTAATTAGTCATCTAATTCAGTGATCTCAACTCACCGAACAAATCTCAGTCTTATAAACTGTAACCGCTTTTGTTTTTTTTTAGTTGCTATGTGAACCTACAAGCTAACACTGTTCTGTTAATTAATTTTTTCTGTTTTCTGTCTTACCTGTCCCCCTATTTTCAACTTTAAAAGCGTATAAATTGATGATGGAAACTTTTACTCCATCTTCCTTTATGACTGTAAGACATAGTCACTGAAAGTAGAAGACATCAAAATACTGACTATCTGTCCTTTATCATAGATGCCTTCGTCATATCTCCAGTGTTAGATGTTATAATAGGATGAGTAGTATTGAGGTTAGGCAGGTGGGAAGGAAATACAATCGACGGTGTTGTGAAGTTACATCGATTGAGATAGTTGGGAAATGTGCCTAGTCATGCCTAGCTATCACTTTCCTCGACAGGCGATGATACGTGACACAGGATTAGCTAGGGAAAGAGCTGGTGGTGGTAAAACCAAAACATGACTCCAGTAGTCAAAGAAACCCATAGCAGTTAGTTTAAGCCAGCTACTTAGAGAGGTGTATACTGCCTGCCTACCTCGAGTTCGAGGTCCTCCAGATGGTAAGAACCAATGGCCGGAAACATCTAGTGATATGGTTCAAAGTCGTTTTCAATGGTCGCGTAGCTGTATTCACTCTTTGTGATTTGTCATGTCATCCAATAAAACTCTATTGTTCCTCCATATTACTATTCTTTTCCCATCACTCACACTTCAGTTTGTTTTATCTCTCTCTTTACTCTCTTTTTTTGTTTGTATGCTACATGAAGGGAGACTGGCAACTAAGACTGTTGCATATTCGTTGAATCCAGTCAGTCAGACATATTGCAATAATTTATCTCCTTTTACGAGATAGGTTTTTATAAGTTCTTTTCAGATATTTATCTCTCTCTTCACACAATACTCGTGCCAAATATTCTATGGCTGAATTTTTATGTTCACTATCCGTATGAGGATAAATTTTTATAAAATTTCTCCTTTTTTTTTACGAAAACAGACAGAAGGAGAGGAGGATATTCAGCATTCGACAAGATGACTTCAGCGAGTTGATTGTAAGAATTAAAATGCTTGTCAACAACACTGCTGGTTAGTTTGGTCGAAGGCATTAACCGATTAACCCTGCTTACAAGCATTAAAGTTCTATGTGACATGACACAGTCTTATTTAAGAGTTCTGATGAAGAGTAAGCGGGTGAAAATAAAGAACCGTTAGCATTTATGAATTTATCAATTGTAAGAGAAGAGGTTGAGTTATGTCATAATGACTTATTTTATAAATCAATAAGATATGAGTGAGGGCCAAAAAAGATTTGAAGAGAAAATAACACTTAGGTGGGTAGTATTCAGCTTATTTCCTACCACAGTGCCATCGATGTCACATGAGTCATACTGTGGTAAGAGCTAGCTACAAGCCAGAAATTGTAGACAACAATTGAAATCAATGTTATGTCATGAGAAAAAACAATAACAAAGCTTAACCTTCAGGGACTCACCAACCAATCACGGTAGATTTAACGTGTGCAAATACGATTCTCAGATATATGGATTAACTTTCTAAGAAACGGTCACAAGGAGTGCAGAATAACCTTCAGCAAGAAAATAGCCAATCAAAAGACGTTGCTTCTCTGCTAACAATAACGAATAATAACTCACATAAAAAATCTATAAATATCCCCTTATTTTCTCAATAAATAATCTGCTGACTGGCCCTTGTCTTCTGCCGTTACAATACGACTGAATCGGTTTACACAGGTGTTGTTCTCGCCTGAAACTAAAACTAACAGTCTGACATTTACAGGGTGATGCTGATTTTAATGACCAAAAGGTCACTGTTACTTTGAGAAGTCCAGTTTAAATGAGTTGTGAAGTAAACGACAATGGAAAGATCTCACATTAGTTAAGATTATCCATTTTAGTAAACCAACTGCTTCAAATAAACTAACCACTGAGTGTTTGTCAGTTCACTTGACTGGAATCAACAGACTATCTGCCTGAATGACACTGCTGCACGAGATAATAACATTTTTCATAAGAGAAATAAGACTAGTAATGTGAAAAACGAAAATCAAGATAAATGTTTTATTTTTTATTATTTTTTTATTTTTTTACGTTCGCAGTGAAACATAGGGTTTCGAACTAGAACTATGAAGTTTCGGTAGCAGTGGTGTTTTTGATTTTTACGGGATGGGATTGCTAGTATCATGCTCAGCCCCCCCCTTATTAGCAGCCTTATTACTAGCTTAGCGATGTACAGGAGTGCGTCTGTGGCCGAGGATCCGACCCCATACCACATGCTTAGTTGATGAGCATTCTACCACTGTGCCACCGACGCACAAAAATAAATAATAGGGGTTTCAAAACCTCGATAGTAATCTGCATAAAAATGCCGAATATCAGAAGTTCTCTGCAGGATTCCTAAAAAGCCTGAAATTAGAGTGACGTTTAAACCGACCAACTCAATCAGAGGTAAACTGTCGGCAAAAGGACCCAATAGATCAAATTAGGGATGAAAATAGTACAAATTACCAGATCTCGGGTAATGACTGTAAGATCAATTACATAGGTCAGACTAGTAGGTCAAGGTCAAAGAGATTACTAAAACAAAAGCATTTAACCAGGTCTAGAATGATTGACCCTGTCAAATTAGGCAGTGTAGGGAAAACTCTAGCAATTGCAAGGAATCATACAACAAAAAAGGATGGTGTGAAAGTATTAAAAAGTAATAAAGCCAAGTGGGGAGAGAAAGAGAGGTGAATCACGTAATCTGTGTTCAGAGAATCGATACCAGACATGTGAAGCAGAAATGATGCGGCACCAGTCGCATATATATATAGAAGATATGAGATGCTCACTAGCGACTGGCCCTATTCAGATTACCTGAGGTTCTAGTGAGAAGTCGTGACCAGTAAGGTGCAGCTGATCGGGTGTGAGGACAAATACTCACCGAAGACATTGGCTAGGGGTCGTGGTATGTCGTGAATTGGCAGAAGTTAGATTCAATTGGCGATTGGATCGGGTCCCAGTGGCTTAATGGCATACGAGCTAGCTCGCCTTGTAACCAGAAGGTCCTGGGTGCGAACGCTCGCGGTGGGTGCGTACTGCTGAAGAGTTCCAAACTAGGACATTAATAATCACACCTGCATTTGGTTTTTGACACTTTTCTTTAAACCAGCGCATACTTCATCTTACTATTAGACTAATATCACACATCTGCCTTCGACTCTCTACCTAGGCCCCTCTTTGTTAAACAAGCTTGCTGTGTCCAAGCACAGTGCTGAATTATCAAGTGGTTGCATTTCTTTTTTTTTGATAGGAAGCAGTACACTGTTCACAATGGAAAGTTCTCCACCGTCTACTTACTCCAGCCGGTGTTCCTCACAGTTAGGGTGCTGTTCCTCCTCCCCATCTGTTTTTTTTCTCCTTACATAACGATTCTGTTAAGTTTGCTGGTGACTCATCTGAATGTATCTATGCTGGGGTTACTTCTCAGTCAGACTGTTCCAAAATGAATAACCCCTTTTTATCAGAAATTGGTCAGTAGTCACTGAGGTCAAATGGTCTTATGCTAAATCCGCCTTCTAAAATGTCAGACTGTTAATTTCACTTTCGGACGCAAGCCATTTACATGAACTAGTTAGTTCACATGGTTTCATCAGTATAGATGGTACAGAATTTGAAACTAAATCGAATGTTAAATACCTTGGACTATGTATTTCCTCTGATCGCCTTTCCTGGTCTTCCCACATCATGTTAGTTTCCAGAAAGATATTTTGTATAACATTGTGTGCGACGAAGTTAAGGCAACCTGGTAACACTCAGTCAGTCTCTACTTTCCAATTTTTTTAATTCCTGTATTCTGCCTAAACTTCTTTTTTCTCCTCTGCTTTAATCTTTGTTATAGTGTAAAAGGCACTAAAAGCCGTTAGTAGGGCGGCTGGAGTATTGCTGAACCAACTCGTTAATACTGGTGTAGATGGACACATGGACTTCTGCTGAAAAATATCGATTATTATCTTGTCAAGCCCTTAACATCCTCTCTATACACAACTCTCTCTTTACATCTCATCAGGTAGAAGTAGGAGCAACCAGAGAAGACTATTATGCTCGGACAACTAAGTACAAAAACTGCAATAACTCATTTGTCGGACACATATTTTATGTGATGAGAAGAGTGTAAGGCAGGATAATACCAAAATAAATAGCTTTCTATCGGAAGTCAGCAAATGGTCTGAGTCTAACGGTCTTAAACTGAATCCTTCTAAGTGTTGATTTCAGCTTAAGATGTAAACGACAGTTAAAAGAAGTCATCGATTCTCATGACACTTGTAAAATTGACGACAATGATATAGGAATCAAATCAGAAATTAAGTATCTTGAACTCATTCTCTCTTCTGATCTCTCCTGGTCTTCCCATGTCTTAGCAATCTCCAGTAAAATATTCCGCCTGACATTTTACATTAAGAAGTTAAGACACTCGGGTATAACTTAACCCCTACTCTTACAGTTCATAAACTCTTGCATCCTACCTATTCTTCTTTATTGTTCACCCTTATTCTTTCCTGGTTTGCTTAAAAAAGACTATGTCACAATTCGTAGAATACTGAAGACTGTCAGTAGGGTGAGTGGTGTCCCAGTGGACCACATAGTTAACGTCGTTGTCGATAGGCATTTGACTTCGTGCAATAAATTTGCTAAAGGGATTTTGTCTGACTTGGAGCATCCGCTTTACCCTCAGCTTTCACCTTGCATCTCCTCAGGTAGAACAAGGAGTAACTTCAGAAAACTGTATGCTCGCACGTCTAAGTATAGAAATTCTATGATACCATACTTGGCACGTATTTTATGTGATGAAAATAGTGTCAGGCAAGAATTAACTAACCTTTTTTCATCTAGTAAATAAACAATTTCCTCCATCCATTCTTATATACCTTCAAGTTTTACTTTTATTACTTCTATTATATTTATGGTCCTGTTACTTCTCTGTTTTTTTTACTCTCAGAATTGCAAACATGACGGCAGTAATCTTTGTTTTTCCCCTCACCATATCATGTAAAGAAAACATTATATTCAATATTTTTAAACATGTTAGGATTTCTATACCACATTGCCAATACTGTGTGACACAAGCCAACGGCAATTTTCACTTGTATTCTTATTATTATTACCCTAGCTGTTATCATTATTATTGCTATTTCCATTTTATATGCTGCATGTTTTTGACACTACCTCTATTGTAAATGTGGAAAATTTTCTGTGTGATTAATTTTTATTTATAATTTGAGGAAATTAGATGCAATATTGTGATTAATGCTGAAAATTCCATTCTGTATCACAAGTACTGTTTTTGGAATAAAGTAAATCATTATTATTATTATTATTAAAGTGGAAGTCTAAGTAAGCGGCCTAACTTCTTTTCATTCACTATTGCATTGGTGTTAATATTTCCACGAAAATTCTAATTTTATATTCATATTTTTATTGAATAATATTATTAGTGTTAGTACCACTGTTTTAGTTATCGCCTCTGTAATGAGAAAGTTAGATGCAATACTGTACTACTACATGCTGAAAATTCTATATTTGTACCAAAACAAATACTATATGGAATAAAACTATTATTATTACAGCTGATTTCAGCTGGGTTCACAAGAGAGTTCCAGAGACTTTATTATGTTGAAATATGGACAATTTCTTCTCTAATATTCACTAGTCTGACTGTGTGTCAGCTGTTCAGCGGTAGAATATATTCTTAAACTACGCATGTCGTCCGGTGTCCAATACCCAGGCGCCGACGCGCTCCTAGACTTCTCTCAGTTGGTAGTAGTAATGCCGGGGAAAGAGGGGCAGTTAGGTGTGAAGCTAACACCCCGATCCTATAAGAAACAAACAAAGTTGCTATTAGAACATCAAAGCTCAAGTCTGAATCCCTATGTTCCATGCAGAACGCAAAAGAATAAAAAAGAACTCTCAATATGAAGGATTTCACTGAGGCATAACGGAGTCATTTTAGACGAAATGAAAAAAGCAACAGCATGATCTTTGAGGAAAATACTAGAACGTTTTAATTTCATTCGTTTGCTGATGAGATATATTCGGATATATATTAGTTCACAACTGATATTCAAATTTCATCCATTCAACCAGAAGTGAATGCCAAAACATTTCCCTGATGGTAGCTGGTCTCTTCATGAATGCATTTAAAGATTACATCTTTTCAAACATACTAACACCTAAAATATCTCTGAGAAACGCTGATAATACTTTCGTTGGTTTAATATTTTCTCCTTAAAGCTGTTAGTAGCATTAAATAAAGAAACGTCAGTAAAAGAAAAGAATTTCGTTGTTTTTCCATTCACTAGGAACAACAAAACTCTTATAACCATGTCATAAATGTAACTTGTCAAAATCTAACTAACCTGTAGGAACATCAATGTAAAAACCGTCTGATTCACCACTGGCTGTATTTCTTTGGTTGTCTACACTGTCATACCGACATAAATTGGGCACTTCCAGTGAACTTTTGCGACTAGAAGAACTGTTCTCTGATTCCATAAGATTCTGTAGCCACTTGACGATAGGTTCCCATTTCTCTGGATAATTTGATAGATATTTTACTACAGCCGAATTCTGAGAAGACAATTCAACAATGAATTTTGTACATTGATAAGCTCGTCGAGGATCTTGGCTATGTTCTTCATGAATTAAATCTTGAAGGAGAAAAATCAACAACACAGGTGAGTTGTAAGTTTCTCTTAGTGAAGATTTAGGGATGAATACAGCTAATAAATCGGCTATTGCATGATAAAACCATATTTAATAACAATAAGAAAAGTGGTGCTATGACAGTCTATATATCACGTGTCAGCAAAGCATAGGAACCACAGCAACAGTAGAGAATAGACACCACAGTTAAATGACCTTGAATCAGCCAATCAGATGATAGCTCAGCATTACAAATGCATGCTTTTCAGCATCTCCGTTGCAAGTGCCATTCTGATTCAGGGTTACGATTGGGGCAGGATTAAGTTAGAGTTATGATTAAAGTTAGGATGGTGCTGAGCGATCTGATTGGTTGGTTCAAGGTCATTTGACTGTGGTGTTTATTCTTGGCTGTTGTCGAAACTACATAGAATATTAATTCATCATTTCAGTGAAGGCACATATAACTAATCAGAATAACTTCGACAACAGAGAATAAGTTCTACAGGTAAGGTTGTGTATATTGCGGTAGTTTTGTTTCTCTCCAGAGTCTCAAATAGGACGAAATGCATATCCTGGATTCCACTGCTAGCCACCATCCACCAATTGTACGCATTCAACAAGTTTCTAAAATCAATCTAGACATCAACTCTGATGGAGTTTTATAAGGAAGTTGACTTAGCAACTTCTTAACTGAATGTTTTGATACCAGGTTGAATGTTATGATTAGGCGTAAAGCTAAATTGAATTTTACTTCATTAGATTTTGCAGTTTCTTTTTTGTGTTAGTCATAAATCGGTGGAATGAAGCGGAACGTTGACATTGAAAAGAAAGAAAAAAAGTGACACTGAGCAGCGTCACAGAGGCAACTTGTGTAGACGGACGCCCGAACATCAACACTCAAACTAAAGTAGAAGTCATGAATGCCGTAAAGTTCATCAAGGCTGGGGAAGCGGCATGATCACACAGGATTTCTGCAGAAGCAGTGAAGATGGGCGCAGAGATCTCACTAGACATGTCATGACACGAGTGCAGAAGGTGTGGAATAAAGGAAGATACCTGTTGATTTCAAGCGAGTATATCTTGTCAAAGTTCCAAAACAAAGCGACCTAAGTCTTTGCAGGAACTGATGAGAAACTATGCTAGTATCCACCCCAAGCACAATATGTGGTCTCATCATCCTGGAGAGTAAACGATGATGTGGATGATAGATTTTATCCGGAACAGACCGGACCGAAGAAAAACTAGTCACATGAGAATCGAATGCAAGGATACCCGTCATCATCGGAAAGAGCATAAAATGGCATTCAATTTTCTACGTCGACTTCACCAACTCCGAAAAGGCAGGGAAGTAACTCGGAAACTGTTTCAACAATACGAAGTGTCGCAAACCCTTATAAACCTCATTCAGTAGCTATATGATGATGCCACGTGTCAAGTAGTTGACAACAGAAAGCGAAGTAAAGCCCTCGAAGGGAAGGCAGAAGCAGGACAAAGCTGTCTACTGTCACTGACAGTATTCCTGATTGTGCTTGACTGGCTCATGTGTCGACTTTGATCAAAGTTCATTGACTGGCGCATTCGGTAGACTGACAAATAGGCCTTAACAGATATGGACTCCGCGAACACCCTATGTCTCGAAAATCTACAGAAGAAATCCAGCACGCTGGAAGAAGAAGCTGCGAAGACAGAACTTCAGGTGAACGTAGGAAAGACAAAAGTGATAAAGATATCTGGCGACCAACAACAACCAATCACCATCAACTGGAGGAATTTAAACGAAGTTATCAGTTTCATCTATCTAGGGAGCATAGTTCCAGCTATAGGCTTCCCCGAGGAAATTCACTACTACTTCTCACAGATTTGACAATACAAGTATCACTGGTCATAAATGAAAGCATAGAAAAGGAACTGTCTTAGACCTTTTAATGCCCTCTAAATTTATGTCATGTAGTAGTCCAGTATCAAATGTGTAACTGATTTACCTAATAAACCTTGAACTTGTGGCGGTCCATATTCATTCGTTTCTTGATCATTATTCTGAGAGTTGGAATCATTTGAATATAAATCATTATCATTCGTTTCTGTTTTACTCCATGCCCACAGAGTTCGATCTCCATTAGGACGTGGTGACCATATCCATTTGTTATTACTGAATACAACTTTCTGATTAATCAAACCATCAATAACAGCTACAATTCTAGCCGGTTGAATTGAATCAGTGAGGCGTAGAAGTTCACCGAGTAAATCAAAGTACTGGCGTAATTCACTTTGAGGACGATTACGCAAACGATCGAGTAACTAAAATTTCATCAGAAAAAAAAGTAGAACAGAAAGTACTAGGCTAATAAAATGCTTGCAATGCCAAAGTGTCTGTGAATGATGCTCACCATTATACGAGTCACTAAATTTACTGCTGATATGCTCACTGGAGGTAACTAGATTGTTTCGAATTGCACAGACGGTAGTTCTGTTAGGGAAATAGTTTTTTATTGATAATAGCTTGATTCCACGCAGTATTTTCAGTACAAGTATGAAATTTTCAGCATGTGATTTAGGCCGACCATAAATATCAGGTGTGCGTCGGCAGGGGATCAAACCCCTGACCATATGTATGGTCGGTGAGAGTCCTAACCGCTGCGCCACCGACGCACACAATATACACGAAGCATACTGAGTAGTTCAAATGATATTACGAGGGCGTACTGAATGCATCTACCAAAATGTCAACTTCAACTGATAGGTCAATTTGCACGATAGTTCATCTGACTTTAAAGCGTGATGCTACCACTGCTGGAATCTCACAAACTTTCGGCGTGGATACAAAAACGTTCATTTGACTTCTACTCAAGTGAACTCTTAACAGTGAAATCAAAATATCTGACAGAGTATCAAATGTCATTTATACTGCCCAGTAATGTTGTCTGTCTTAGTGTTCGACCATTAAACAATGCCATAAAATGGCATAGCAACTCCAACTACTTAAAGTTCTTTAAAAATCATCACATTCATAGTTATTCCTGAATCCGGTGAAATCGTTAACTAGGTAGAGGGAAAGCTTAACAAACTCCTAGGCAAGAAAGAGCGTTCTTCAAGGATGTTCGGACCTAGGTTTCGTGTATGTTGGGATTCATCAGCAATGCGTACCTGCAACCTTGAAGGAGCTAATCTCCCTCCTGAGATCCGAATCGGGCCATTCATTGTTGGAATCAGAAGGGACATGAGTTCCTACAAGACTGGAAATACGCCTTGCTGAGTACTAGCAACAAGCGCAAAACCCAGGTTCAAGGATTCCTACCGACTACCTCTAACCATATGTAATAACAATTTAGAGTGCACCATGATGGTGAGCCACCTAGAATGGTGGCCAGATTGTAGACCTGAGTGATAGAATTCAATCTGTAGCATGACACTAATTATTGTCTAGTGTCTAGTCTAAGAAGTGTGGACCCTCCATCCCTTACGGTTGAATCTAAATGCTGATCGCCCCGTCTTGTTCAATGTGACTACTATAAGCTTCAGTTGGCGACTTCATGTGATGTCATTCAGCATTAACACCAGTAACACAGATATATACATGCTTTGTTTCCCCATTTTATTGGAGTTGTTCGTTATTTCGTTTCGACTGAAACTACTTATTTTGTCTCTTCTCACTTTATGAAATCAAACTGTCTTATTTGCAAGAGGAATTTTGTTGGGACTTTATATGTTGGACGTTTGATAGCGGATTTGTATCGATCAGAGAACCATTGCAAACCAGAGGGTTATTGGATAGCTGTTTCGTCATAGTTTGACCCTCCTTTGCAGTACGCACCCACCCTAAGGGGTTCGAACCCACAGCATCCAGTTACAAAGGAAGCTCGTAGACCATCCAGCCAATTAGAATCAACTCAGTATCCAGTTCATGAATTCCAACTCCTACCAAATCCTCCAAATTTTAGCGTCACTTGCACCAGCCAATGTGACCGGCGGGTATTTGTCCTTACGCCCTACCTGATGGACCCCACTGATCAAGACTTCTCATCAGGACTCCAGAAAACTTCGCCATGTCACCAGTCACTAGCAAGCATCACATTAGTTTTCAGCAACGAATCTGTTGGGATTCCATTTGTTTGGATTCACTCTAAAAATCTGATGAGATGCTCACTAGTGACTGAATGAATGACAAGGTTTTTTGGAGTTCTGGTGCGAATTCATGGTTATTTGGGTCTGCCAGGTTGAGCATGAGGACAAATACTCGCCGATGACATTGACTATTGATCAAACTTGTGACTGGAAGGTCGTAGGTTCGGACCGCAGTAGGGACGTACTGATGAAAAGTATGGCTTTCCAATACTACCTAGTTTCCAATGGTTCTCCAATTAACATTCACCAATGGTCAAACTGGAAATGTCTTATTTTGATCCCTGTGTCTCTCTTATTATTATTTTTCACTTGATGCATATATAAAAGCAGTTAATATTTCTAAGACTTGAAGAAATGTGAATCTCCGTGTTGATAATGTTGATCCGTTTAATTGGCATACATTTTAACCAGTAAAACAATAAAAACCAAATTGTCTAATGTTTAACTTACAGCTACAATGAAGCATTGAGAAGCATCCCATGAATTAGCAGATAAATGTATCATAAGTTCACGAATCCTCTGTCTCAGCGGAAGAGATTCACTTCCAGATAGTGTTGATGAATCACTTGAATTTGCAGCAAGACCAGCGGCTGATACACTTCCACTATTACTCATAGTGGTCGTAGAAGCCCCACTACCTGTTGCTGATGATGCATAGACAGAGAAAACTTGATTTCCGATGTCACCAAGAACAAGTGATGAATTTAAGCTAGGGATAACAGGATTGTCGATATAGGCTTTTAAAAGGACTTCACACAATCTAAATAATCCGACAAGTTGAGTAGAGTATGGCTTTGTTGTACTGGAATTATCACTGGTAGTTGGTTGAACCTGTGATACAGGAGGCTGTAAAACACGATTCGTCAGTGGTGGAATAGACAAACCAAGCCAAAGTACAGTCTCCTTTTGTGGACGAAGTAAGAGACGACTTTGTGAAGTTTGACGGTATGCCAATGGTGGATGAGCAGGAACTGCATCATGAAGAGATGGAGTATCTATATCAAAATAAAAATAAAAGTTTGACACATCAGTAAAGAAGACGGTAATAGAACGAAAGACAGCCTTCCGGATACATTTTCCATTAATGAGGCTTGTCAATGGACGTGAACACTGAACATTTGCTTCTGGAACTGGAAGCCATTGGTGGGCAAACTCGAAGGCGCGAATGGTTTGATCGTGTACAAGTTCGACGAAGACGAACAAAAACGAATAAAAGTACACAATAAATTTGTATAAAACATTTGTTTGTAGACTTGTACTGTTTTCCACTTTCATTGCCAAACAATATAACTTCGTTCTTATAATACTGGTGTTTTGGAGTTAAAGTCGAAGAAAGTACATAGTAGTTATCGGTGCCAAGCATCTTCGTAACAATAGGAACTTGGGGATAAGTTCCTTGATAAGGCTGTTATAGTGACACTGAAGGAAGACCATCGGCTATATTGAGAATGGGATATAAAACGCTGAATAAATCATTTAACCGATCAACAAAAAAGCATCCATGCCAAATAACATATAGGAAGGTAAACCCTCCAATCGACTGCAGAAACATAAGTCAGGCAGACACAAAATAAATAACACGTTATTTGATGGTTGATGATCGGTTATCATTGAAATCCGGAGTGAATATTTAATCCTATCTGTAGTCAGTAAAAACAGAACACACTAGCATTTAGTAGTGGAATTATTTATCGACAAACTGATGTACAATTCTGATTAAACATTGCCTTCATTTAGAGAACCATTAAAGTCCACGCTGTATTGGACAACTTGTTCGTCTTTGTTTGGGACTTTTCACAGTACTCAGAAATAAACATCAAGCGTCAGGGATCGAACTCAGCAGGTTACGAGGTGAATTAGTACACTACTAAACTGTCGGGGCGGGATCTAGTGGCTCATTAATTCTGACCTCTGCCAATTGAAAAATTGCGCAAAGAACATCCAATTTCACCGGTGAGTATTTGTCCTCACGCCCAACTTGGTGGACCCTGGTGACCATGGCTTCCCACTGGAAATTCATGGAAACTTTATCCTAGAGTGAGTCACTAGTGAGCAGAAGATTAGTTTCCAACCGTGATGGGTACGTACTGATGAGAAGTCCCAAACTTGGACGAAACCGATGTCCGAATCTCCCTGCATTTCAGGGCTTCTCTAACTGAAATCCATTCGTGATCGAACACTTGAAAACTGGTGTACATTTGTAGGAAAATACGCATACCCTAAATTAAGATAGCTATTTCCATATATCCTTCTTACTGTGCTGTTTTTTGTCTTCCTTTCATCTTTTCGTACAAGGATCTTTTATTTCTTCTCTTCTCAGTTTAATCCATCCGTCAGTTATTCAATGTTCTAGTGGAAGACATCGTACACAATACACTCGTTACGCCTCCCATGTTATGTGATATAATAGGATGAGTAATAGTGAGGTTAGGCAGATAATGTTAGGTAAAGATGGAAAATCAATCAATAAGGTTGTCTAGCTACATTGATTGATATTGGCTAACCAACGTGTTACATACGTCTAGCCATAGCCATCCTCAACGCGCAATCTTAGATGACATAGGATCAGCTTGGAAAAGAACTAGTGGTGGACAAAACAAAATATTGAAGCAACCCATGAAATTATTGGTAGTTATTTTGAGCTATGTAGGGAGGTGTAGGCTGTCTAGTTGGGGCCCACGGAATGCTCGAACCAATGGTTGGAGACAGTTGGTGATATGACTGGCTAGAATCGCCCTCAATCGCGAAGATGCATTCACTCTGTGCGACCTCCTGTACCCATTAAACCTAAATTTTTTCATGTTACACTACGGATAATTATTGAACAGAGCTTGAAATGGCAGTCACCTCTCTATCTCAACTTCATCGACTTTGAAAAGGCCTTCGGCAGCGTCGATCAAGAGGTGATTTGGAAACTACTTCTTCACTACGAGGTGCTGCCGACAATTATACATCTCATCCAACAGTTGTACGACAATGCTGCATGCCAAGTAGTCCACAACGGGAAACTCACGGAATCCTTCTAAATGAAGACGGGAGTAAGACAAGGCTGACTCGCTGATTACTGTCTCCAATGATTAATTTCCTGATTATGGTAGACTGGATAATACAGCAGACAGCGGGTAATGAGTAAACAGGCATCAAATGCACGCACACATAAAAAACTTGGAGGGTCTGGACTTCGCCGATGATATATTTGTGATATCCCTAGAACTGGAAGATATGCAAGAGAAAAGTAACAAGCTGGCAGAACAAGCATCAAAGATAGGACTTCAAGTGAACATAGACAAAACAGAGGTGATGAAGATTCCTGGCCAACACCAACAGCGACAACAACAACAGATAACAATCAGCCAGAATAAATGGGAGGAACCTGAAAGAAACAACCTCCTTCACCTACCTGGGAAGCATCGTTTCAACTACAGGCGGAACTGACGAGGATATCAAAGCCAGAATCGGAAAATCAAGACAAGCTTTGATTATTCTCAAGCTTATATGGAAATCAACAGCACTACTCAGCATGAATATAATCAGATGCGAATTTCCAACTTCAATGTGAATCCAGTGCTACTTAACATACGGATCAGAGGCTTGACGTGGCGTCAAGAAGGCCGCTTCGAACAAACTACAGACCTTCATCAGCAGATGTCTTCACTCAATACTTCGCACAAGATCAGATGGCCGGCCAGAAAAGATTAACAACAGGGATCTCTTGAATAGAACCAACCAGGAACCAATTTTTCAACAAATATTTAGGACTAAATAGAGGTGGATTGGCCAAACTCTGAGAAAACAAGCCGTCAAGTGACATCACACGCCAGGCCCTCTCTTAGAGTGGAACCCCAAACAAGAGGCGGTGAGTTGGTCATGAGTGCGAGGGTGACATGAAGGAGGAGATCATGTGAAGAGGAGATGAAAGCATGTGGGCAGACGTGGAGTCAGGTGAAAACTTTGGCAGAGAACTTAACGCGATGGAGACGTACGTCTGAAGCCCTTTGTTACTCTAGTAATTAAAGGAAACGATAATATAATAATAATTCTTTCCTTCTCCCCCCACGTCTCCGCTTATTATTGTTGCTTTGAATATCTTTTTTCTTTCTTTGTGTGCTGCATGGAGTGTAGCACCTCAAAATGCTGTACTTCTGTGCAGAGTTCCATGTTGAAACAAGTCAGTCAGTCATGCAATACACTACTCACAAAATCTTATCAGTAGAATCTGCTGTACGACTACTAGTAGTCAACAGGAGATAAAATGCATAAAATGACGACGCTGAAGCGTTTATCCATTCAGTTGAGTTAGCTGAAGACGATCACAGGAAATCGTGCACACAAACAGATAACTTGTTTGGTAATATTATGATCCTTTACGTGTGTACCTGCCTGCTAAATCCAAGTAAGATGGTAGAAAAATTAATGTGTATTCAGAGCATGACCTTTACAGATCTACTGTTCAAATTCATAGCTCTTCCTGCTTTTAATAAAACACTTTTTTTTAGCTGTCTCTTGGTTTTGTATCGAACTGAAATAAATTTTCTTACTTACTGACTTAAAAAGCCATTTATTAAATAAACCGCTGGTATGCGGTACTAACCATTTAAAACAATTGTCTCAATGGCGGAAATTTAAAAAAATAAATTATTGGAAACACAATCCAAAAGGTGTCAGTACACAAATGACTATTATCATCATTATTTTCTCAAAGAAGATAAATGTCTAAAAGTTAATATGTAAACGTGCAATTTCTTTTTATGCCGACAAAATAACATAAATACTGACGGTGAATTTAACATTTAAACATTTGAATTGCATAACATAACCGATGCTATTCAGTCCTTTAATAATAATAATTTCTGGTAGTGCTGTCTAAGCTAGTCAGGTCGTCAACCAACGACGAATATTACGCGAATTGACAACTTCATAAAACTCCCCCACAATCAATCATTTGTAAATACACATCTACTAGACATTAGCGCAGTAGATAAGTCAAAACCTGAAAATGTTATTTCAATAGATAAGACAACTGTAGTTTATGTAAGAGCACAATATGGATTTGTACTGCGATGATGAAAAAGATGACAATATTACTTAACCAAATCAGAAACGGAAGCTTTACAAAACTTTAATAATAAAAGTAAGAAAATATTGAAGGGTAAAATCTCACCTACTTTACTAGTTCGCTAGTTTTCAGCCAGTTCCAAGTCAGGGAAAAGAGTTATGCTTGGGTGTGGGGCTAGCAAACTTAACCCGGAAAATCAACCCGATCGCTACAGAAACCTCAAAGCACAACAAAAATATGAGTAAAAACCTCATTCTTCAGTAGAGCTATGGACACGCAACGGCGCAAGCTGGTGGAATCCTTTCGGAAGCCAGTCATCCAGCCAATGTCCTCTTTCGATGAAAGCAAAAATAAAAATCGAGACGTGGAATGCTCGTACAACTTACGAAGCTAAAAAGGTTGCCCAAGTAGACAAAAAAGTGAGGAAATATGTCATGGAAGTGCTTAGAACCTGCAAGTGCAGGTGGAGTGGATATGGGGTGTCAGTAATCTACTCCGGTCACCTAGACGACAAACACGAGCACACTGAGGTAGTGAGTATCTATCATTGTGTCACCAACATCAGACAAAGCTTTGATGAATTGAGAACCCATCTCCTCCCTCAGAACTATGACAGCAAGATTCAACTCAGAAGGAAGGTTACAATCATCCAATGTTAAGCACCTTAAAATAACTCGGAATAAGACGAGAAAGAAGATTTCTACAGACAACTGCGAACAGCACTGGACAACATCCCAAACGGTAACCTCAAAATCCTAATGGGAGATATGAGTGCCAATCCAAATGGAAGTGGATAATACAAGAAGAGAATTCATCATAGGTCAAGAGGCTCTCACTCACCAAAATGACTGAGAACGAAGAACTCTTCGCAGACTTCAGCAGTTTTTATGACTTGGTGATCGAAAACAGCGTGTACAAACACGAAGATATACCAAAGGCAACACTGATTCCACCTGACAGACATACCAAATATCAGACAGACTTCATCTGAATGCTACTTCAGGAAGTGGAGATGCAGCCTGTTGAACACAAAGTGGAGAAGTGGAGCAAATGTGAGCTCAGACCGTCATCTAGTTCAAGGAAACTTCAAGGTGAAGCTGAAATCCATGAAAACAAATGGAGACAGATCACTTTGATTCAAGTTCAACAATCAGAAACTGAAGGACAAAACTACAAGGGATACCTTCACTACAGATCAGAACAGAGGAAAGTCGGAGACGCTATATAGTATCACTGGGGAAACGTGTGTGTGGAAGAAAACTGGAACTCTCTGTGGGTGATGTTCAAGGGGCCAGCTAAACAGGACCGAAAAAAATAAGACAAGATGTAGATGTGCTGTTGAAGCCCCATGTTCCACCTAGAACCTAAGGGAACAATCATAATAAAATACCCGCTAAATTAGATGATTCAACAGTGCTGTTAGACAAATCAGATTACTTTACAATAGTGAGTGTCCATATATAGACGGTGAGTTCAAATGGTTCAACTTAATGCCTGAAATTTAGTAACTTCAATGGGAGGTATGATGTTGTCAAAGTTCATAAACCAAGACACCTCATTAGACCAATATTCCAACTTTTGAAGTGTTTAAATACTTAGCTATGGCAATTTAGATTTATTGATCCTTATGATCTTTAACAGAGATTGAATGATTGAAAATTAGGTGTGGAAGAAAAATGGTTAGTTTCGGTACCATCAGTTTTTATACACAAGTGTCAACAAATATGACTCTAAAAATAAACAAGAAAGAACTCCTTTCTGGACAGAAACTTGGACTCAGAACCAAAGTAACAACAGAAGACATGCTGTTATCAGTGCATCTGTGTCTGACACCTACAGTATTTAAATTTAAGAGAAAAACATATAAATAAGTTTAGGGAATTCTCATGGGGTTACCTATGACCCAAATTTTAGCAGATAAATCCCATGACGGTAGGGAAGAGTCACCTGTTTCATCTCCACACCCAAAATATGAGGAAGCTATGCTGATAGGTTTTTTTTGGACATATCTCAACAACATAGAGAATTCAATTCAAGTGCCAGTTTGCAGGGATTTGATTGGTCACAGAATTTACTTATGAGCTGATATCAGTTATAGTATTGGAGAGCCAACTGTTTCATCAGACTAGTTTAGACTCCTCATCAGTACGCACCCACCACCAGGGTTCTAAGCCAGGACCTTCTGGTTATAAGGCGAGCTAGCTCGTAGACCATTAAGCCACTGGGAATCGATCCAATGGCCAGAACATGAATTCTAACCTCTGCCAATTCACGATATAGCGCGACCACTTCGCAATGTCTTCTTCGATTAATTGTCTTCGAAAAGTGATCCAGTAAATAGTACTGTTTCACTATGTAATTAATTAAATTAATATGATGACTGAATACTCTTCAGACAAGTAATCCACAACGGGAAACTTACGGAAGCCTTCGAAGTGAGGACGGGAGTGAGGCAAGGCTGTCTACTATCGCCAATGATCTTCCTCATTGCAGTAGATTGGATAATGTGATAGACAACGGGCTATGAGAAAACAGGAATAAAATGGACTCACACAAAGAACTTGCAGGATCTTCGCCGATGATATATGTCTGATTTCCCACAAACTGGAAGATATGCAGGTGAAAAGCAACAAGTTGGCAGAACAAGCATCAAAGATAGGACTACTTTCAGGTGAACATAGATAAAACAGAGGTGATGAAGATTCCTAGCCAACATCAACAACAACAACAACAGACAGCAATCAGCATAAACGGGAGAAACCTGAAAGAAACAAACTCCATCACCTACCTGGGAAGTATCGTTTCAACTACAGGCCAACGGAACTGACGAGGATATCAAAGCCAGAATCGGAAAAGCAAGGCAAGCTTTCATTACTGTTAAGTCTGTGTGAAGATCAACAGCAATTAGCATCAGAAATAAGATCCGGATCTTCAATTCCAATGTGAGGCCAGTCAGTGCTACTATACGGATCAGAGACTTGCACTGTGTATCATAAAGAGCATCTCAAACAAACTACAGACCTTCATTTACAGTTGTCTTCGCTCAATACCACTCAAGATCAGATGGTCAGAGAAGAACAGCAACAAGGCTCTCTGGGAGCGAACAAACCAGGAACCGATTGTGAAACAAATAGGCAGGAAGAAATGGAGATGGATTGGCCATACGCTGAGGAAACCACCAAAACACATCACTAGACAAGCCATTTCTCGAGTGGAACCCGAAAGGGAAGAGGCGAGTTGGTCGTCAGTTCAAGGGTGACTTGGAGGAGGTGATGTGAAGAGGAAATGAAAGCATGTGGGCAGACTTGGAGCCAGGTGAAAAAGTTGGCAGAAAACCGAAGGCAATGGAGACTCGGGCGGCCGAAGCCCTATGTTCCTCTAGGAATTAATGGAAATAATAATAATAAATAATGATATAGCGCTCCAACCGACTTTCTTGACTTATGTTTGTTGAAGCTTGGTGAACTAAAGTGTATGTTTTCCTAAGAATCGAGACTGTTTTACTCATTTTTGAAGGTAGCAGCATGAGGTGTACATTCAAGTCACTGACAGCCCGACTGACTATCTACGAAACCGAACTGCGTCCATGAATCGGTGATCGGATAGTAAAAGACATAGGCTAGGCACAATTCAACGACACAGTCCACCGACCAACAGTAGAGCTGTACAGCTAAAAACTAATTGAACATTTATTTCAGATTTTATTTGTTAATATGTTCATAATAAATTTTTGGGAAAAAAAAGATGCGAGAGGAAAAATTATTCTGCTATCAAAGCAGAAAAAGAGAGAAAACTGAAATACTGGACCAACAAACATAATAATAATAAATATAATGGTATGTATGGCGTACCTGGGATTCTGTAGGCATCAAACGATGTTTGGCGCAAGAGTATTGTAAGCAGATAGTATAGATTACCCATTTCTCTTTGTTGTGCTGGACTCCATACACGTAATTTATGCGTCTAAAGGATAAAAATCAGTTATTTACTACTTTATAATCCGTTCAGTAATATAAACAGAGGCAATAAAATCGGATGAAATAAAAAGGACAATAAATAAAGTTTAGTGACTTAGATGACTGTTTTAAGAAATACACGATATAGTAGTAAGCAAGAGTAATAAAATTAGTGATATACACCGTAGTAATGGTTTAAGTTTAATCATGAATTCATATCAGGTAGAGAGACGTTGAAGACCAGTGTGTACTGGAGAGTTGTTTCATCCTAGTTTTTGGATCGTTCAGGGAACGAACCCTGAAACTTCAGGGTACTTGGCCGAACTCGCTGACACATCAGCCAAGTGGGCCGGAATTCGCTTATTCCTGAACTTTAACTTTTATCAATTCACGACTTTAGTGTGACCGCCAGCCAATGTCTTCAGCGAGTATTTGTCATTACAGCCGATGCGGTAGATCCTACTCATCCCGACTTATCAGTAATATTTTGTATGGAATGACATTCAATCAGTCATCCCACCAAAATGAAAACTGCCATTGAATTAAACACCTTATTTATTTGATTGCATGGAGGATTTCATCATGAGCTGACATCAGTTAGAGAACCACTGGAAAACCTAAGAGTACTATACAGCTGTTTCATCCTAATTTGGGACTCTTCATCAATACGCACACACCACCAGGGCTGGTTACAAGGCGAGCCAGCACGTAGACCATTGAGCCATTGGGACCCGATCCAATGGTTCTTAAATTCTAACTTCTGCCAATTCACGACATAGCGCGACCATTTCGCAATGTCTTTTTCGATGAGTTACTGCCCCATCCTCGACATGCTGTACCCTACTGGTCACGGCTTCCCACTAGAACCCCAGGTCAACTGCCTGAATAGGGCCAGTCGCTAGTGAGCATCAGATTAATTTTCAAGTATTGGTTTTTGTAGGGATTTTGTTCGATTGCATGGAGGATATGTCAGCTCATGATGAAATCCTCCATGCAATCGAACAAAATCCCTACAAAAACCAGTACTTGAAAACCTTATTTATTTATTCAGTCAGTCAGTCAAATTGGAAACGTTTTCAGTATCGCATGTTGGACCTTGAAACATAACAAAAAACAAAAACAATGGGATCATAATTAGGTAAGCGAAATTTTTAAATATTTTATAAATCAGTGTAAAAATGAGTATAATATGCTCATTTTCGGAGTAATGACATTCACTCATTTACGGAAATCTTAATGGTGTAGAATCCGTTAGCATGATCGATTAGTTATACCACTGGTAAATAAAAATGAATATTTTAACTAGGATAACTAGGCATATTAAAATTAGCATTCCCTTAGGTCCCAATTGGAACAAAGAGTTTAACTAGCAGAACTCTGTTTCATCTTGTTCTCTGTAGTCTTTCCCAGACAGCTCCACCACTTCCAAGAAGGTTTCATTTCCTTCCCACTCTCGGACGCCCTACTCGTCATTTCCCATTTGGGTTACACTCGAAGGCCCAAATGACGCGTGATGTCACTCATTGGTCTCGTCAACAGATGCTGAGTCCATCTCCATATCTTTCTGCAGGAAGGTATATGTAAACACTGTTCAAACTGTCAGAGCTGATTGAGATTAAAGTCTGAAGTGTGACCACTGGACGACGCTTTGCAGCATTGCAGTACACCACTAGAAGTGGATGATTCGCCAGACACTGGCCACCACTATTCGGTTATAAAGCTTTTTTTGCTATCACTCAGTGACCGAGTGCTGAAAACCATAACTATCCAGGCACATAGGCAGTAGGATACGATTTAGATACTCTCTAACTTTGACATCGAGTAGCCCAAATTCAAATCGCAGAAATTCAGTTTCTCTTTCTAACAGCTACAAACAAGCACAAAAACTATATCCAGCCCACATGTTTAAGTATGGTCATGCATTCCAGAAGTACTACAACTATGAAATGATGGCTTTTCCGCCTCTGTTACAACATTCTGATATTCGGCCTATTCTGTAATTCAAATGAATCTTTTCTTTGAACATTTCCATCTTAAGTATCCTAAAGACACTAAGCACAATCGAGAATTCACACTATTGTCCATCAAGTTAATCTATACACAGTTATCATTTTATTTCTTTTTGTGGTGGTGTGTACGAAGGAACGTTATTCTTATATATTCCCACAGTTCAATTCGACAATAGCAATAGAATACAATATATCTATTTGACCATTCTATTTCTTATCACTTAATGCAAACTAAAATCACACGCTCAGTGATTGGTTAAAGAATATATATATAAACAGCGGTTTGATCAATAAAAAGTATACCTTGGCTGCTCTGTCTTGCCTTCTGTTGTTACACTTTGAGTTCCTATTGGAATATAGGACTTCAAGCTTGAGCTTTGAAGTCCCAGCAACAGTGAAATGTTTCCACGGGGTTAGGTTGCCGGCCTCGTGTTCCACCTTCCTTGTTTGCTAGGTTTAGCTACCGGTGAAGCGGTGTTCAGGAGGGTGTCGGTGGCTGGGAATCGTTTCCCTCACCACTGTGTATTCTGTGTGTAAACCGCTGGCGCACGTATGCAAAGTACTACTTGGTTATGCATAAACACAGTGTGTAGGATACTTATTCATGAAGATAAGTCTATTAAAAAAACTAACATTTACTTTGTAATTGATGATAATTATATATAATATTATAATATAATATATAATATTATATAATATATATATATATAATATTATAATAATTCATAAACGTAAACATACCCAGTCCGGTGCACTTCCCGTGAAAGAAGAATTACAATCAGATGGCTCTGTAGATGCCATTGAATTGGAAACATTCGAATCAATGAAAAAGTTCAACAGTCTTTTAGTTGCTTTTAAATTAGACAAGTGTACAGTGGCATGTGGACACATTTCAGCATAACCTCGAAGCATAGCGAATAAGGCACCGGCTTCTGTAGTGTTCAGCTATTTGCCCATTATCAAATAAGCCGAGTAGGTAGTTGATTAGACCTGTCAATGCACCATCAAGCTGTAGGCAAAAGTGTAGATAAAGCAGAAAATAAAATCGACATCAGCTCCACTGACTATTTATCAACCAATTCAGTAAACTGAACATGCTTTGTACTATATATACTAAATATTTAATCTCAGCTAGACTAATTGACGATCACATATGCAATCGAAATGTTCTGACCAATAATTAATTCTGCTATTAAACATGTCACAGACGCTTATTTGTTTTTTATTTTTATGCATTTATGTTCCCAGTGGGACATAGAGCTTCAGGCTAGACGCTGAAGCTTCGGTAGCAATGGTGTTTATTTATACTGATGAGTTGCTAGCCTCATGCCCAACTTCCCTCCTTACCAGTCTTATTACTGGCTCAGCGAGGTAAAGGGGTGCACCAGCCGGGGACCAAACCCCGGACCACATGAAGTGTGGTTGGCGAGCATCTTACCACTGTACCACCGACGCACACAGACTTATTTAGGAATGCACTAAATCCTTTATGCTTATTGCAAAACTGAATCATTTGAGTACGATGGGAATTTGTTTCATTACATATCGTTCACACGTTCTCTCCTTCATTGCTGTATACGATTTCCAAGCTGCTAAAAGTTTTGTGGTAGCAACTTTTACAGGACTGAACATAAAGCTCCACCTACACACTGGAAGCTGAGACTGGAACAGAGGATTCTGTTTTGAAAAAAAAGGAGAAAAAAGTTGAAAAATTTTTGGAGCTTCATCCTCTATTAGATTCACTACCAGCCAGGTGTGGATTAAGAGTATATCGGCGGCCGGAAATCAAACTAGGACTACGTGAATGGTTGGAAAATACTCTAACACTGGTAATAACTTTTTTGATTTTGATGACTCAATTTTGTTTGTTTGCCTGTTATTTAATTGCTTATAATTCTTGTATTCATTCAGAACTCTTACATAATTTCGTATTATCTACTTTGTTTCTCTGTGCATCCTGAGTAAAACTCACTCATCAAACTATTCATATTATTACATAACTTCTTTTAACAACTGTTTGTGACAACTCATCACATTTGTTACTACCCTAATTTCATTAACACCTAATTTTCTTGACTTGTATTACCAATCTTCACCTGTTTAGTTAAAATAACCATAACCAATTGTAATTTTGTTTGACAAACTTGATGTACATATACGCACAAAATAACACATATATATTTGCGATTGTACAGCTAAGAAAATGAATTCGCCTAAAAGAGACTCTTCGCTGATCTACGTGTTTTGTTTTCATTAATGCCTGGATGGAGATTATCCATGAAATGAGACGTACTATTGATCTACCGAAACCTTGCCCATACACTCATTAACTGCGCTTATGTTATTCAAGATAAGCGTTAAATGAGTGCGATTTGCTCGGATGAATGTATTGATGAGGAATTAAATAATATTAGGCAGTTACTGAGTGAAAACGGTTATCCAGAAAAATCCATTGATAAGAATATGACCAAAAGTCAAGGTAGCCCCAGGTACCGACAGTTCTGATAAAAAGCCTTATTCTTACAAATTCAGTTCCTTAGGGATAATATCACTGAAATGTTGACACAACGCCTTAGAAATGCGGTAAAAAGAGCATTTCCTGTCGGTGAATTACGCTGTGTCTTCAAAACCAGCTTGATTTTGTGTTCGGCAGTAAAAGAAAATCCGCCTAATTTCGTCTCTTCCATGTGTATCTACCAATTTAACTGCTCCTGTGGAGTCAATAAGTTACATAGGTAGTAAAATTAGGCGTGTTTATCGTCGGATTTCCGAGCAAAACCCGCATCGTGATTAAGTAAAGGACAAACAAAATCCATTCATAGCTCTATTGTATCTCATCTCATGGACACAGAAAACAAAATTGATGTTAACAAGGTGGTTTCCAATGTCGTCTACCGCAAACCAACTAATCTTAACTTCGTTTACTAAATATTGCTGAGGCAGTTAGGGTCTATATTAAGAAGCCTAATTTGAGCGTACAAAAGAAGTTAGTCCAGCCATTATCCTTACCATGGCCATCTGGCTTTGAATGATCCTGAATTTTTGTGGAATTTTCCTAATTTCAGCTGATATTCTATTTGCTACTATATCTTTATTATTTATTTATTATTACAATTTAAGCATCTTTAATGAACTGTAATTCCATTGTAATCTTGCTTTACAAATCGATATTATTTAAAAAACACTGATATTGTTTACAGGATTTCATCATGAACTGACATTAGTTACAGAAGCATTGGAAAACTTGGGAGTACTGGACAGCTGTTTCGTCCTAGTTTAGGACTCTTCATCAGTGCGCACCCACCGGGATTCGAATCCAGGACCTTGCCTTGTAACCAGAAGGTCCTCTTTTTCTGAATAACAATAATAATGTGGATTACGACAAAATATGTACTTAAAACCTATGAAATACGTCTATATCCAAGAAAACGAAACATATTAACCTTGAAAAGGCAAATTGGCTGTCAACATTCTTGAAATAGGGATCTTGCAGTTCACGAAAAGGACATTCCTGTAGCATTGTTGACAACAGTGTTTTTTAGTTTACCTGGGGAGGAAGATTCCCCAGTTAACCAGGTCCATATGTGCTCAACAATTCACCTACTGCTCTGGAGTCAGGTGTATCAGTTGTTCAAGGTGAGTTTCTTTCATTAGGGTGCAAGAACACTATCCATTTTGGTTACAAAGAGATGGAAACGTAATAATTGATTATCTGGTCAACTTATCTCTATTGACTCTTCCGTCTGAGTTCTTTGTAAAGCAGAAAATAGCCTATCTCGTTGCCGTGTCATGTTTGGCTCACGTGTATCTCTGAAGCTTTTGCTATTGTAATAGAAAAGTCATAGCTTTGTAAACCGTATCAAGTTTGTTCAACCACTCCTTCAGCCATGATCCTAATCTATCTTTGTTAACCTACTATAATTACTATTTTTAACTTGGCCCTATTAATTTTCCACCTTGTTTTTTTCAATACGTATATCCATCCTCTATTATTTCAAGCGTTATGATTAATTTCACTGTGAACAATTTCCGGTATTAACCCACTTATCACTGTTATTTATTTAATCAAATAGAATTTTTTGCAATGTTGTCTTGCCATAATTCTCAGCGTGTCGCACAATTTGCATAGAACTATATACTACTAAATGATTGACTGAGATGAGTAGCTGTATACCCCACTCATATCAGCCAGTAGAGCGGGCTAGCCAGATAGCCATGATCTAAACACTGGACGATCACTTCGCTCGTTTGGGCACGAGCTCATCAGTGAGATGAATCCAATTTGACTCAGCTCAGACAACGTCAAATCGGTTCAAACTATCCAATTTTTGGTTAGCTCCTTCGACGACTTGATATGATTATGAGCAATAGTTTGTGCTCGAAACGTGGTCATCAGTTAACACTACTGCGTAACACTGTGTGATTTTTCGAAATAAAATCTTATCCATAGTGGAATTATGCTGTGCCACAGTGTCCAGGTTTTATACTTATTTCCTTCGACGAACGTGCAACACCAGAAATCAAATTCACAATTTACGAATTGGTGGCGGTCTGCAATTTACACACACTTGGAGTAACGAAATTTCACCGTTTGACTAAGTATTATGTGATTATTACTGTTTCCTTTAGTTCCTATAGGAACATAGGGCTTCACCCGCACGTCTTCATTGAGTTCAGTTCTCTGCAAACGTTTTCACCTGGCTCCACGTCTGCTGCCCACATGCTTTCATCTCCTCTTCACATCACCTCCTCCAAGTCACCCTCACGCTGACGACCAACTCGCCACCCGCTTCCTTTTCGGGTTCCACTCGAGCAATGGCTTGTCTATTGATATCACTTGATGATTCGTTTCCTCAAGAATGGCCAGACAATCCATCTCCATTTCTTCCTGCCTATTTGTTTCACAGTCGGTTCCTAGTTGGTTCGCTCATTGCCAGAGATCCCTCCCTGTTGCTGATCTTTTCTGGCCGGCCATCTGATCTTGAGTATTGAGCGAAGAAAACTGTTAATGAAGGTCTGTAGTTTGTTTGAGATGCTCTTTATGATGCGCAGTGCAAGTCTCTGATCCGTATAGTAGCACTGACTGGCCTCACATTGGAATTGAAGATCCGGATCTTATTTCTGATGCTGATTGCTGTTGATCTTCACACAGACTTAACAGTAATGAAAGTTTGTCTTGTTTTTCCAATTCTGACTTTGATATCCTTGTCAGTTCCGTTGGCCTGTAGTTGAAACGATGCTTCCCAGGTCGTTGGTTGGGTAAAGGAGGTTGTTTCTTTCAGGTTCCTCCTAAAAATAATTATACATAATTGCAATTGTGCATAGTTAAGTGAATGAATTCGTCGCTGAAATGGAGACTACTGTTCGTTGAACTCTTTGTTCTTATATTTTGATTTACTAATGTATTTACAAAAAGAACTGTAATTTAACACAACTGTATTGGATAAATTATTTAAATTATTTTCTGGAAATAAAGGAAATAAAAGTGAAGAAATGTACTCACTATGTTTGTCTCTTTAAAGGAATAAAATCCTTGCAATACCGCGAGAATCATACTTGCAGTTTGTTGGCGTGCTACTGGTTTCGGATCAAGAAGCATAGAAACTCTGTAGAAAAGAAAAATAAGTGTCAAAATGAAATCACAACCTATACAGTTTATAATGTCAGATAGAAATAGCATAACCTCAAAATCAGAATAAAAACAAAGTTGAAGGATGTGTCTGTTATTACTACTGTTTGCATGATTCTCAGGATACAGTGAAACCAGTACCACTAAGCACAATACAAATGTGAAATGTCACTGAGACTGATTGGAATAAATCTTGCACGAAACCAAGGTTGAAGGCTTCCTCTGGCCGATTGCCTCCAACCATCTAATATCGTCAAATCAATGTGCTCCACGATGGAGAGTTATCTAGCTTGATGGTGATCACATTGCGGCGAAGTTAAACTTTCGACACCACTAACTACCAATCAGCGAATTATACAATGAGATTCACGAACGATGTCGAATTATCCAATGAGGTTCACGAACGCAGTTCAATGTTGTATAGCGCTTGATTCATTTCTAATGCGTGACCTTACAACGCTACAGTTGCAATTCGAGGAGGTTAGTGTTTTCCACTATTTCCTGGATTTGAGTTGCTCCGGAAAGAGCGAATTTGTTTGTGTGGTTGTATCATTACTTTAAAAAGCTATACCAAATCAACTGACGGGTTAATTCATCATCTGGAGAGGATAAGCTGATAATTTTAATATTTCGTAGGAACTTACTTTCACTAGGTCGCATCTCTCCCTAACCCAGATTTTGTATATCTGCAACTAATGGGTGTTGAAACAGGCTGTGAGAGCAGCAGCTGCCGAGATGGAGAATAGCCATGTCTCAACAGTTCAGTGGTACCAGCATTGCAGAGACATCGCATCATGGAAAATTGGGAAAATCACTTGTTTGCTAGGTGGGGAAGACGTTATCGTGCGTGTCGATGAGACAGTGTCGGTAAAAACGAAATACAACCGTGGTCGCTAGCGAACGAACAATATTTGGGTAATAGGTTTGTATGACACCTCCCTCCGAAGGGGATTCGTCGAAAGGATAACAGATGGAAAAGCATTGACAGTCCAATGCTAAACTGGGAGATGTTTCTCTCACATGTTCGAAAAAGATATCCCATGTAACTTTTGCATTCTCTATTTTGTGCTTTTTTTCTATAAATATACATTTCCATTCATCATATATGCCTCTTTAATGTAATTGGTTCGTTCAAGGTCGTTTGCTGATTGGTTGTTAGTGGTGTCGAAAGTTTAACTTTGCCCACATTGCAAACCTGAATGATAGAATTCAGTATACACCAAACAAAGAGTTAGACACATCACACTAGTTACATACTAGTGTCCAATAAAAAATATCCAACACCGTTCTACAGGAGGTGAAACGCTAGGCCGAATAGATCAGTGATAACGTCTCTGACTGCAGCAGAACTGGGTGAGGCGGGACATGAGACATGAAAAGGGACATGAGTTCCTTCGAGGTTGCAGATTGCCGACGACTGCCAACTAGCACGAAACCTAGGTCAAACGCTACATGTGGCCGGTAGCCTCCAACCATATAATATCATGGAGTTATTCATTATTTTCCACACACACACAGTGTTATTACTCACGCACTTTGATTTGTTTTGTTACTAACTAGCAATAACCTTTGACCTCTGTTGTCAGTCTACGTTGCATATACAAACTCCTAAATAACCCAACTGTATAGCTTTGAAGTGAAGTTACGGAAAGAGTAGATCTCTTTACTGCTGACTCGTGTGTTCTTCTTATTCACTGACCGTATTAGCAACCAGAAAGTCTGCATTTTTACGTCAAATCAGCGTAAAGCGCCGTATAACTTTTAAACAAATGCAATAGAAATATAATGTCAGTAGGTCCTGCTGAGTAGTTCCAGATGGGATGCGAAACGCCAGACTCAGATCCTGCTGCTAGACCCTACTTATCAAGTTGAGATGAAAGAAATCCTCAAGATATCCATTCTATTAGATCATATTTCAAGACAAAATCTATGAAATCAATCGAGTTAAAACAACGAACAACAAGAAACTATGGCATTGAAATTTTGCATACACTTAATGAAAGACTTACAAACACGGCTGATTCGGGCTAACATAAAGGAAATGCATTAAACAACGTGCTGCACTAGGATTACTTGCAGCTAAACGTGTCAACAAGCCAAGCAGCTCAGAAATTAGTTTTGTTGACATTTCGGAAACACTTGTTGTTGATAAACTTGTTATCGGTTCAGTGCAATTCAACGCCATGCTTAGTTTTACCCTTGGATGTAAAGCGAAAAATGTGTTGAACAAGAAATGAGACATTAATTTTGTCCCAAGGACAGAACGTTCCGGCTCTTGACGTAGACTGCTAACATCTGTCTGTAAGAGAAAAGAGGGAAAAGGGGGTAATCAGCCAGTTATATAAAAGTAAAACTCAATAAGAAGTTTTAATTATGTCGTTATCCCAAAGGCTTTCGTGCAAAGTAAAAAGTCATTGGTTTGAATAAGCTTTATTTATATTGTTTCAAGTAGCGATACCGGGTAAACGAAAGTTAGCTCTTGTGACACAGTGGTGGTGGCACTTTGGTGTCTGAAACCAAGGTTGCAGTGTTCTATTCGCAGTGGGAATATCACCACCTACAGGGAATGCAGGCATTTCCGAAACAGGATGAAATCCACCTCCTAGATTCCATTGCTAGTTACAGTCAAGCAAAATGATGTTAGTATCTGTTCTTAATTCAGTTCTGGTTTTCGCATTAACTGACTGCACTGAAATTTCTCGCCTTTACTGATATATCAGTCGCTTCGGTTGACATAACAACAGAGGCGGAACACTGAGGTCCAGTCAACCAATGGGGGAATCAAAACTGGACTGAAAACACATAATAACTGATCCTCATTGTAAAAGAGGTGGCTTTTGTGCCAAGGTGACGTCGTGGATGACGCTCTGGAGTTTGAGACGATGGTTGCACGATTCGAGCCCCTGTGGGAACACCATCAACAAGAATACAGACACATCCAGACTAGGAGTCCTTGACACAACGAAATGCTCACTCACTGCTGATCACCATCCACCAAAATACTTCAAAGTGCTATCATATTATTATTAGTAGTAGCAGTACTACTCGCATTCTAAACACAAAAGAAATGAAAGCAATATGTTGAACAAAAAGAAACGTATTTTAAAAGCAAGACAGATGAAAAAACAACAAAGACCCTCATGAACCTCCGAGACCTTGATAAAATATTATCATGTTTATCATATGTGAATTGACACCTTTCCATATGACAAATAACATACACTCACACCACACACACACACACTCATACAAAAAATGAACACAATAACACTTTGACATTAGTCATTACAACTATATGATGACTGCTTGCGCATTTCTATTGGTACAAATGTCTATCGACAAGTGACCTTCAAATAAACTAACTTAAATTTGTGTAAAAGAAAATTTTTTTTTGACTATATATTTTGATGGTTAATAGAAATCCGAATAATTCTGCTGAAGAAGCAGCTGTGGCTTACACAGCGATCTGTTTTTTGAAACAGATCTTGTTTTGATTTTCTTTTGAACACTTTAGGATTAATTTAAATAATTTATCATGAATCAATCTGAGTCGTCGCTCAAATTATTCCAGCAAGTTCGTTAACACTTACAGTCTGGAAACTTAATTTTATGTAACTGTGTTCATTAAATATTCCGTCATTTAAGAAAATTAGGGGTAAATGCGACACTAAGAAATCCGTAATTACTCTTTCTTCTCCATTCTTTTGCACTTCAAGCGGAACACAGAGTTGATTTTCTTTTTTATCGGGATGGAGTTAGTAGCCTCACTCCTGAGCTTCCCCTCTTTTCACCAGCTAGTAAAATTAGGAGATGTCTGAGAGTGCATTGGCACCGGAGAGTCGAATCCGTGTCAGAAACCTACCACTGAAAAGTGATTATCTTACACCACAGATCATTAAAAGAAAAGCTTAAAGTCAATTTAAGATATTCTTAGAATACAGACTTACCAATATGCCTTCACACAAATCTCGTATAAACTGAAAATATTCTCGTGAGTAAATATTTTGATCACGTAGAAAAGTCATATTCTCTGTCCATATCTGTTGTGCAATACGTGTTGGCATTGGTATAGATTTAGTTTTACTGATAACAGTTAAGGCGCTTGTTTCCAGTAAATCGTTTTCATTACACTGTGAATTCGATGCGGTGTCTAGTTGAGTTTGATCATCATTAGGTAAATGTGAATCGGATCCTGAAAATAAAAGTACACATCAGTGATTATTATTATTTATTTATTTAGCAAAAATTTGAGCAAAGTACATCCCTTTCGATAATTTCCTCTTCTGGTTCTACAATTATTTGTATATATATTTATATACACAGAATACATTTTTAATTGCACATTAGTTAGTAACTGTGTGTCTAATCCTATCTTTGGTGCAAACTGAATTCTATCAGTCAAGTATGCAATATGGACAACATGCTACTAGGTGGCTCGCCATCACAGTGCACTGTGAATTGTTGATATTATTAGATGGTTGGAGGCAATCGGCTACAGGAAGCCTTGACTGGTAGAATTTAGTCTGCACCAAAGGTAGGACTAGATACATCACACTAGTTACTGACTAGCGTCCAATCAAAAATTTCCAATACAGTCCTACAGGAAGTCAATCGCGAGCTCGAATAGCTCCTCACTGGTAACATCTCTGACTGCAGGCAGCATCAGGTTTCACAAGTTCGAATCTTAGAAAGGACATGAGTTCCCTCGAGGGTGCAGATATGTCTTGGTGATGAGTGCAGACTAGCACAAGACCTAGATCCAAGGCTTAACGTCGATTGCCTCCTACCATCTAATATGCAGAATTCTCTAGAATAGTCGTCATTAACAATACTGATGTTCTTAAATACTATCCATTTGGTAAATAAGATCAATGAAATTACAGTTCATTAAAGATGCATAAATTATAATAAGCATAAAAATATAATAGAAAATAGAATATCAAATAAAAATAAGGAAATCTCTAGGGCTACAAATTAAGGATCATCAAAACCTTGATTGACGGTGAAAGTAAGGAAAGCGACTGAACCAACTTCTTCTCTTGGATACATAAGTTAGGTTTCTTAAAGTAGATCTCAACAAACTCAGCTATATGTAGTAGACGAACTCTTAAGGTAAAGTGAAGATTAGCAGGTATGCGGTAGATGACTTTGAAAGCTGCCTCGTTGACATCAATCTTGTGTTCTGTATCCACAAGATGAAACAGAATTGCGCTACGAATGGATTTTGTTTGTCTCTCACTTAACCCCACACAGGATGACGCTCAGAAATCCGACGATAAACACGCCTAATTGTACGGCCTATGTAACTAACTGTCTCCACAGGGGCAGTCAAATTGGTAGATGCACACAGAAGAGGCAAAACCAGGCAGTATATCTTTAACTCCCTAACGCAAAATAGAGGAGGTGGTTTTGAATGGATGGAGTAAGTCATCTACTGCATACCAAGTAATCTTCACTTTACCTTAAGAGTTCGTCTACTACATATAGCTGAGTTTGTTGAGATCTACTTTAAGAAACCTAACTTATGTATTCAAGAGAAGAAGTTGGTTCAGTCGCTTTCCTTACTTTCACCATCAATCAAGGTTTTAATGATCGTTAATTTGTAGTCATAGAGATTTCCTTAATTTTATTTGATATTCTATTTTCTATTATATTTTTATGCTTATTAAAACCTAATCGTCTTTCTCGGCTATAGAGCTTTTAGGTACCCAGCTTCTCATTTAGAATATCTTGTTCGTCCCTGTAACTGAAACACAGACTTGATATATGTTAATACGGAGGAATTTTTAGTATCGCACATAAAACTACCTAGTATCACCATGGATTGAATATGACATATTTTCAGCTTTTAAGTGTTCTATTTCCTAGCACAGTTATTTTGTTAAACAATCGCCTAGCAGCACGATTTTATTCCAAACAATCAGTTACTATTAACGCTATGGTTGAGTTATTCACTGTTAAAGCTATAACAGCTACCAACTTATGTGTACAAAACTACTAAGAGAACTTGAATGCACCAGTTTGATTAAATCACTGGGCTACTCAAAATTCCCAACCCATCAAAATGCATCGCGTTCACTCCGTTTCTGATGTGGCTGTGTTCTCTGAGCTCGATGGATTGCTTATGAAGCTGTCATTGCCTTATTAGGCGACATCTTCAGCACAAACTTCAATTGATTGAAGTGAGCTTTTACATTTCTCCACGAGTAGTTTATTAGTCATCTCTCCTGGTGTCCTTGGATGTGATTAGTGGTTTTTGTGTGTTTTCACACCCTCTAGGCTGCTTGTATTGGAACTAAGTGTTTCGTTGACTTGAACTTTGACCCTTTGTGTATGAGATTTCCTTCCTATCGATTGGTAAATTTTGTCTCTATGTCGATGTGTCTTTTGATTGATGATTCACTGGAATACCAGGTTTCTAAAAATTCTATAGCATTTTTTGTGTTTCCTCTGTCCAACATTTGAACGCTGTTTGTTTCAGCCGAGTTGATGTCCGTGGTTTTTGATATGTATCCATTTTTATATATATATATATATATATATATATATATATATATATATATATACATTGCTGCTCTTTCTGTTGCTCTCTTAGTCTGTGACTATTTCACTTTGATGAACCTGTCTCCTTTAACAATGTAGTATATTTCCCTTATATTATATATAATATGTGTGTTTGTTGACAGTCTGATCTTGGTGACATGTATCCATATAAATTGTGTGTTTGTTGACATGTCTGATATATTTTGCTATGTATATATGGATCGATACTCCATTATAATTAGCCAATCATGTTCAGACTGTCTATTGATTGTTCACACACTTGTTCGGACATTCATACATATTTTTGCTCTCACACTCTTGTGTGACTTGGATTCTCCTGGTGTTTTGGAAAATAGAAGTATCATCGCAAACCTAGTGGTCTTCTGACTTCCGTCTTTCTTGCGTCAGGACTATTAAATAGCTCGACCAGTACATAGCAATAATTTGGCGACGAGTACATAACAGTTTTCTGTATTTAATGTTATAAGTGAGTGGGTGTCATGTCTTTTGACTGCTAGCTTATGTTCATGGATAAGGAGAAGAAGAAGAAGAAGAGGACGTCCACTTTAGCGAATGTAGTGTTTTCCTCAGTTGTTACAATTTTTTATTTTATTTTTATTTTTTTATTTTATTATTATCTTATTTTTTTTTAAAATAAAATAAATAAATAAAAATAATGTAGCTACTTTATTTGTACCTTCCTTGGGGGTCTTAGATTTGGAAGGTTGGCTTGAGGGTATATGTCTTTCGATGAAATTCCGTGGATATCCATTCTTTTGGAAGACGTCCCTGAGGTATCTTTCTTCAATGTCCCGTAAGGTGGGAGTGTTGTGATGAGTCCTGGCCCTCTTGAATAATGTGTGTATACAATTCCTTTTGTGTGCTATTGGATTGTTGCTGTTGTAATTCAGTATTTGGTCTGTATGAGTTGATTTTCTAAGAACCTGAGTTTCTAATTACCCTGTGGTTGTTCGCTTGACTAAGACGTCCAAAAATGGGATTTGGTTCTTGGATTCCTCCTCTCTTGTGAATTCTATGTCGTTGAAGACGTTGTTTATTAAGTTGTGAGTTTTATCTAACTCGTTTCTTTTGATTATTACAAATGTGTCGTTTACGTAACGTATCCAAATTTTGGGTTTGATCTTACCAATCGATAAGAAGGATATCTCACACACAAAGGGTCAAAGTTCAAGTCAACGAAACACTTAGTTCCAATACAAGTAGCCTAGAGGGTGTGAAAACACACAAAAACCACTAATCACGTTGGAGGTCACCGGGAGTGATGACTAATAAAGTCGTGGAGAAATGTAAAAGCTCACTTTAGTCGATTGACGTATGTACTGAAGATGTTGTCTAGTAGGGGTCAATGAAAGCTTCACAAATTAACTATCCAGCTCAGAGAACACATCTACATCAAAATCACCCAACCTGAGTTACAAATCTTCTCCATCATATTTACCCCGTTTCATATAGTTCGAGTGATTTAATTAGCACAATGAGTCACAATTCGTACTGGTGCACTAATTCAAATATATTTCTACCTACCACTGGTAATTTTTCAAAGGAATTGCAGAAAGAACATGGTGAAGTAGTATTCGAGGGAGCTTCGGGTGGAATAATACTGTTTCAGATGATATTTTATCGATGATTATTTGAAGGTTCTGCACAAGGAATAACTGCCGTGTAGTGAAACTCAATGAAAACTTCTGTATTGTGTATAAACGCACTTTTCAGAATAAAAGTATTATTATACAATTGGTGGATGGTGACTAGCATTGGAATCCAGGATGCGCATTTCGTCCTATTTGGGACTCGTCATCTGGATGTACCTGCATTTCTCAGTGAGTGATGCACATCCTGGATTCCACTGCTAGCCACCATCCACCAATTGTATACTAATTAAATGCCCAGACATCGTCGAAGCATCTGCACCAGAAGCCGACATGTCCACCTGAGACCGAGCACTTCGGTCCAATCAATCGACGGGAAAATCGAAAATTCAATTCAAAAGCATTATTATTATTATTATTATTATTATTGGAGACAGAATGCGTCCACCTGTGATGATGTTTTGTCAGATGTTGTTTTATTTGTTCACAGATGTTTTTGCTACAGTTTTTCTTGCAATCCTCAACAAAAATATTTTATTATTATAATTAACAAAAAAGAATTACGAAAAAGAAGGAGGACAGAAAGAATGCGAACTTACTTCCCTCATCCTTATTCTCATTCGTCATTTGTAAATCTGCTGTTTGCTGATTACTGGACAAGTCTTCAGTACTTCCATTGGTCTGTTTATTCGTAGGATAGTGTAAATCACTTCTTTCGTAAAATAGAAGATATGCACTCCAATATCTTGTACGCGTTTCAATTGTTCTTCCTGTTGAGTAAAGTACACCAATAATGAGATAATTAGATAAGGTTATTGAAGAAAAAGTACTAAGAACGTAGGGATATGTAACTAATTTACTTTCAGAGTTTATGTTTTTTACAAGGTGGAAGTATCGATGCCATTTAAGGCAACATCTTGCTCAGTAGCACAGTAGAGAGAGGCAGCCCTGTTCAGGAGACACTAAGCTGCATGAACAATAAAACTACAAAATGTAAATGAAAAATCCCCATATTGAAATCAAAACAAGATTTTGAGCGAACAATTGTTTTCGATAAGTTATTCTTCAGGCTCTACAGTTATAAATCCATGAATAATAGAGTACATATAGCCAATAAAGGCAAATGAAAATAATATCAGAAACTGTATTGGAGTGCATGTGTAAGCTGAGATGATGATAATCCATTAGTTAGCCTAGTCAATCAAATGTGTATAGGGTGTATAATCAGAAAAATGTGATGAAATGTGAATGAACAATTAGGTGATATAGTGTAGTTTTATAGTTATCAGAATACAAGTGTCCTTGGGGTGAGAAAATACGATAACCACAAAATACATGTAAATACACATTAAAAAATGAGGCACTGGATATGAGGGCTGACCGATAATGTCTAATGATAAAATAAAGGGGCTAAATTGTAAATTGTAATAAAATGCTACAGAATTGGTAGGTTTAGTATAAAATCATAAAGGTTGACAAAGTAAGGGTAACAATGAGGTGAAATAAACTGGGTGGAGAAATGGATAATAAAGACATGATATCACAAAATGCTAATAATGATAATAATACTACGAAAAGATTATGATCCTGGTGACCTTATAGTGGGCCAGGGTAGACAAAGAGAGTGAATAAGTGTTTCCTGTACACATAGGTCTGGTCTCTCTCTATTAATCTCTAAAGCCTCAGCTATGGCTAGGAGGCGTAATCATGTGCCTTTGGGGAGATTGTTCAGTACCCGATACGCAACTGTAAATGACTCATTTACTTTGATGCTGTGTTTGCTATCCACTAGATGAGACAAAATTGCACTATTTAATGATTTGGTTGCTCTTTTCCCAAGCCAAACAGGAATATGTTCACGAGTGCGTAGAGATAAATTCCTTTGGGTACGACCTACATAACTAGCTCCACAGGAGCAACTGAATTTATATACACACATTGATATCGCCATTTTGGGCAATCTATGTTTAATGCACTGTAGAGTCTGAAGAAGAAGTTATTGAAAACAATTGTTCACTCAAAATCTTGTTTTGACTACAAAATGTAGTTGCAATTTCATGAGTAAAAATTACCAGCTGGTCTGTATAGTGTCACTGATACAGTAAGAGTGCGAGTCTTCAGTTAGTGGAACAAATTAGACGATATTTCCACCATCTGCTAGAAAACTATGTGTGGTCTACGGGCCTGAATAAAATAAGACTATTATTATCACTCCCCGGAGTTCATCAGCAGCACACTTCCATTTCCGCTTGTTCTCTTCAGTCTTTCTTAGCTGGATCCGTGACCACCTATAAGCTTTAATTTGTCTTCTCATGATGTCGTGAATAAACTAACTTCTTAATACTATACACTTACGTCTAAAAAACATACTATTAAGCCAAGGGAAGGTAGAGAATAACAAGGAGATCTGAAGATTAAGGTGAAATTAAATATGGTATGACGTCTGACTCAGGCGTGAGGCTAGCAACCCCACCCTGTAAACAAAAATTGCTACAGAACTTCAGTATGCTGAACCTCCTTGCACCAAAAGAAAAAGTCTGTGTAGGAACATGGAACGTCCGAACTATGTACGAGACTGGAAAAGCTGCCCAGATCGCCAACGAGATGAAAAGATACGGAATACAAGTGCTGGGAATATGTGAGAGCAGATGGAATGGGAGTGGACTCACCAAATTGTCAACAGGTGAGTCAGTGATCTACTCCGGTCACCCAGAAGATAACCACACGCACACCGAGGGCGTGGCTATCATGATGTCACCAACGGCAACGAAAGCCCTGATACAATGGGAGGCGATTTCGTCCAGGATAATGACCGCCAGGTTCAACTCCAAAGGAAGGAAAGTGTCAATCATACAATGTTATGCACCCACAAACAACGCAGACCTCGAGAAGAAAGAAGAATTCTACAGGCAACTACAGGCAACAATGGACAATACTCCAGCTGGCGACATGAAAATACTAATGGGAGACATGAACGCCAAACTGGGACCAGACAATACGGGAAGGGAACTCATCATGGGTAGAGAAGCTCTAGGAGAAATGAATGAAAACGGAGAACTCTTCGCCGACTTCTGCGCCTTCAACGAACTGGTGATTGGTGGCAGTGTATACAAGCACAAAGATATCCACAAGGCTACATGGGTGTCACCAGACGGGCAAACCAAAAACCAAATCGACTTCATCTCAATCTCAAGGAAGTGGAGGCGCAGCCTACTGGACACAAAAGCAAGAAGAGGAGCAGACGTTGGCTCAGACCACTATCTCGTACAAGGGACAATCCAAATCAAATTAAAAGCTTTCAGGGAATCAGGAGCTGCAGATAGACCACAAGCCAAGTTCAACACTCAAAAGCTGAAGGACCAGGCTACAAAGGACATCTTCATTGCAAGCATAAAGGACAAAGCCGAGACACAAATCAACACTAGCGAAGAGGTCGGCGTTGAAAAGCACTGGAACAACTTGAAAACGGTGTGGAGCCAAACCTGCATAGAAATTCTAGGCAGAAAAAAGAGACAGGACAAACAGTGGCTCACTACGGACACTTGGAAACTAATAGAAGAGAGAAGGACAGTGAAGCAAAAGATTATCCAGTGCACGACGAGCAACAAAAACAGGAGCTGAATGCAAGCTACAATACACTGAACAAAAGAGTGAAGAAAAGTGCCAGGGAAGACAAAAGAAAATATTATGAAACCATGGCAAACGAAGCAGAACAAGCTGCAGGCAAAGGAGACCTCGCCACACTCTACCAAACAACTAGGAACCTTTCGGGCAAACGTTCGACACAGATTAAGCCAATAAAGGACGACAATGGAAAGTCAATCACCAAAGAGGTGGAACAGAGAAAGCACTGGGTTGAACACTTCAAAAGACTTCTAAATCGTCCGCCACCTACAACACGTCCAGCAATACCAACAACGGAAGCAGAACTACCAGTGAACACTGACCCCCCGACGAAATCAGAAGTCCTGAATGCAATCAAGATGCTTAAAACTGGGAAAACACCGGGACCAGATGGAATCCCAGCAGAGGCTTTGAAAATAGACCCAGAGACAACAGCGGACTTGATGACACCACTACTGGAGAAGGTGTGGAAAGAGGGCAAAGTACCCGAGGATTGGAAGAACAGTTACTTATTCAAACTTCCAAAGAAAGGAGACTTAAGTCAATGTAAAAACTGGCGTGGAATTATGCTTCTGTCCATTCCAAGCAAGATACTAAGTCGCATCATCCTGGAGAGAATCAAACAAGCCCTAGATGAAAAACTTCGTCCGGAACAGGCTGGATTCAGGAGAAACAAATCATGTATTGATCAAATCGCCACTCTACGGATCATCATTGAACAAAGCTTGGAATGGCAGTCACCTCTCTATCTCAACTTCATCGACTTTGAAAAGGCCTTCGACAGCGTCGATCGAGAGGTCATTTGGAAACTACTTCGCTACTACGGGGTCCCATCGACAATTATACACCTCATCCAACAGTTATACGACAATGCTGCATGCCAAGTAATCCACAACGGGAAACTTACGGAAGCCTTCGAAGTGAGGACGGGAGTGAGGCAAGGCTGTCTACTATCACCAATGATCTTCCTGATTGCAATTGATTGGATAATGCGACAGACAACGGCAACCAACGAGGGAACAGGCATAAAATGGACTGACACAAAAGACTTGGAGGATCTGGATTTCGCCGATGATATATGTCTGATTTCCCATAAACTGGAAGATATGCAAATGAAAAGTAACAAGTTGGCAGAAGAAGCATCAAAGATAGGACTTCACGTGAACATAGATAAAACAGAGATGATGAAGATTCCTAGCCAACATCAACAGCAACAACAGACCACAATAAGCATAAATGGGAAGAACCTGAAAGAAACAACCTCCTTCACCTACCTGGGAAGCATCGTCTCAACTACAGGCGGAACTGACGAGGACATCAAAGCCAGAATCGGAAAAGCAAGACAAGCTTTCATTACTCTCAAATCTGTGTGGAGGTCAACAGCAATCAGCATCAAAAATAAGATCCGGATTTTCAACTCCAATGTGAAGTCAGTGCTACTATACGGATCAGAGACTTGGCGAGTCATAAAGAGCATCTCAAACAAACTTCAAACCTTCATTAACAACTGTCTCCGCTCAATACTCAAGATCAGATGGCCAGAAAAGATCAGCAACAGGGATCTCTGGGAGCGAACCAATCAGGAACCGATTGTGAAACAAATAGGCAGAAAGAAATGGAGATGGATTGGCCATACGCTGAGGAAACCATCAAGTGACATCACTAGACAAGCCCTCGAGTGGAACCCGAAAGGGAGGCGGCGAGTTGGTCGTCCAAGGGTGACTTGGAGGAGGTCATGTGAAGAGGAGATGAAAGCATGTGGGCAGACCTGGAGCAGGGTGAAAAAGTTGTCAGAAAACCGAAGTCAATGGAGGTGCGCAGCTGAAGCCCTATGTTCCTCTAGGAACTAAAGGATACAATAATAATAATAATAATGACGTCTGACTGTTTCATCGTCTTGCTGACCACTTGACTTTGACTTTTCTTGTTCCTGTAACTAGATAATTGTTATACTGGCATTTTAGCCTTCATAAAGATCTGTTATTCGGTAGGTGGTGATTAGCAGTGGAATCCAGGGTGAACATTTCCTTCTATTTGGGTCCCGTCAGCCGGATGTTTCTTCATCCCTAGTAAGTAATAGTATTCCCACTGAGAAATGAATCCAGCAATTATCGTTGAAAACGCTAAATCGTTATCCACTATGCCA